GTGGGTGGAGGACAAAGCAGAAGCCATTGGCTTGCTCTCTGGTGTCTGGATCTACCTGCTGTAGCCGTGCCATTTTACAGCGATTTCTGCCATTTCCTGGGGCAGGGGGATAGTGCCAACCCCAACCCATCCATCCTTGTAAAGAGTAAAGTGCTGGGTTAAGGGGCTAAACTGAGGTTTCTGTTCTATGCAGCTCCATGCAATGCTGATGCAATTTTTATAAAAGGACGACAGTTTTCATTTCCTGAGAGAATTGCATATGCAAATGCATCTGCAGAGGCCGGCGTTGTCTAGAGCTAGGCCTGGGCAGCACTCTAGCACTAATTCTCATTTAATGGAGGGTTGAGGCAACCTAGTGGATAAAGGGGAATGCAGTACACTTCATCAGTGCCAAAGATCCTGAATCATGAAAGCCTAAAACTCTCGTAATGATCCCCGTAGAACGGGTGAAGATTCGTTATCAAAGTCTACTTCGGGGATGGCTCTTAGCCAGGTAGATGAGATAAGCTAATTAAAATGCTTTCTGGAACAGAACCGGGAGAGATGAAAAGAACAGTTAACACACACATTAAACATTCTGTGAACTACGGAGACTTAAGCAAATCATTGTAAAAGCTGTGATGTAATTACGTTCTGCTTCACATCTGACAGTGTTGGTTAAGTTATGTGCTTGAGCACCAGGAGAGATGAACCTTCTGGTGTGAACCCCGAGGAACCAGCCCTGGTCTGTCTTGTGACCAGATTTCTGAGGTCTTCCTTTTCTTGTTTGTACTAGAGAACAGGGCATGAGGTCTGGGAGCAGCAAAGCCGATCCTCTGGGAAGAGTTGAGGTGCATTGCCGGCATTTAGCACATGGAGATTTATACCGGCGAGTAGAGGCAGACAGGAATCTCTCATTCCTGGGACTTTAGAGGTGGCAGAGTACACAAAGCCCAGCTTCTGGAGTCTAACAGCTCAAAACCCAGCTCTAACACAGGGACAGTTGAGGTAAGTTGGGTGTTACCTCAGGCTCCTGGTGTGTCAAACAAAACTAATTTCCCTTTCACTGCTGGCTTCCCATGGGGGTTGCATTATATAACTATCAAAATCCAATGTTAGAGATTCTGGGAACCCCACACAGATGTGTGTTTGTGCAATCCACTTCATTCACCGTGATAAATTCCAGCGATTATCATTATGAGCTCACTTGACTTCCGAGCGCATGTGTGCTTCACAGCCATGTGTGGTAACAGAGCCATATGCTAGTGCTGATTAGGAAACAATCACACCTAAAATAGCTTCAATTTAATGACGAGATGACTACATTAATTTGCAGATAAAGAACATCGCTAAAAGCTTTGGCTGTTGACAAATCCTGAATAGTCACGTGTTTGTTTTTTTTTCTGGGAAAGAGACTTTGTGACACGAACAGAAAACTCAGTGATAAGCACTCTTTTTGATAGGTGCTTGAATGATCGTGTAAGAAGGGGGACCTAGGAAGCCGATCTCTGTGACATCTTCCCAAGCGCTGTCACGTGACTCTCCCCAGCGAGTGGCATCTGGGGTAGAGATCTGTGCGGGCTGCACAACTGTTTTGCTGCTGGTACCAGAACCTCAGGGCACCATGTAGAAGAGCACTCTGCTCATGAAAACACACGGGTTACTCAAGGGCTCAACCAAACCATAACCTACCATCTCGAGAGCTGCCTCTTCTCAGGCCTGCAGATCAGAACATTCTATAGAGTCCAACATGTTTTATGCCTGTGTGATGTTAGCATGTGGGGACTCCGGGGTCATTCCAGTTCAAAACTGTAGGCTGGGGACTACTTACACCTCCCCCCCACCACACTTCTGCCTGACAGAGACCCATGACAGCTGTGAAGAGGAGGGATCCTTAACGCTCCGTTTCTAGCAGCATCTTGCAGTTTTGTTTGCACACGCATGTTACTGCACAGCCCGACTACCAACAGACCTAATGGCAAGCCACCTGGTGCATGTGTGACTTCTGTGTAAAAGATTTATGTAAAAGTCATGCAGTTTGTAGAGAAAGGGGGCTGGTCACACAGAATTATAAAAATCAACATTTTGGAGAGATTGGCCGCAGATGCTACCACAATCTTCTAGGATCCCAAAGGTTGGCCAGTCTACTTTAAACTTGGGAAGCAGAATCTGGCAGTAGCCTAGGAAGGGGCCTCTTCCTGGTCCAGCTGTACGACATCAGCTGCTGACAATGGCCCACAGTGGAACGTCCCACCACATGCAAGGAAAGAAGGGAGCGCTCTTGAACCACACACAAGCCCCTGAAGGCAATGGTGATTGGTTGCACCTGCAGGGATTTATCACTTTTATTAAGAAACAATGATTGCAAATCCAAGATAAAAACCAGATGTCTGATGAGTTTTTTTCAGAGGTGAAAAATGGCTCTTTATAAGAAACGACGGTAAACAGACACATTCAGTGCAGCAAAGCATTTTATTCAAAGAACCTTCCTTTCCTCCCTAACTGCTCGAATATCTCATAAGGATGGCAGTGATGTCTGATATTTACACAGCTCCGAGTCTGAATGCTCACTGATGTCTTCTGGCTGTTCTACACACACGGCTGCTACGGGCTCCCTCCTTCTCGGGTCTTTGTTCTTAAAATGAAATACTCAATGAAGCGCTCGAAGGCTAAATGAATGAGATCCTCACTTCCATAATTTGTTACTTTTCAAATCACCCTTTTTGGGGAGGCTGAGGCCATTCTCTGGAAAGAAGGCAAACAGCACATAAACGCTCGCCATCGTGAAGGAAGCCCAGAGGCTATCTGTGTGGCTGGGAAATAAGGCCGCCTCCCACTTTGCTTGAGGAGTCTACCTTCCACCAGAAAAGATGTAAATTAACTCAATCGTCAAAGGCATCATGTGTTCAAGTGCAGACCAGGCCTTTCTTGTCTCTGGCTCTTTTGCTGCTTGCCTCTTGCTGGTGATTCTGCAGGCAAAACTCCGGGCAAAGGCCTGTGACACTCAGTGTAGACAAATACACACAGCTCTCCAGGCAGCAGGCAGCAACAGACTTCAGTGGCTGTGAGATGGGAGTGTGGCGGTCACCAGGAAGCCACTTCAAAACCCTTAGGAGTCTGTAACGAGCTCCTGGTAAGCGTCTTCCTGAGCATCAATTCTCCATGGCAATGCACACACCAGTCTCATCCCTCCTACCACCCGGCATCAAGGCAGCCGAAAGCAGGGTAACACTCTACACCCATCTGCAATAACAGCCCCCGTTCCTTCTCATGGCTGGAGTCACTGGGGTATGTCCCCTTGCTTGGCTTTCTTACTAGCCAGCTAATGAGAACTGGGAACAGTTGTGAGGAACCGTTATGAAGTGAGGAGGAGGCCTTGGCAAGCATTCATTTCCTCATGTAACACATGTCAGACACTGTGCCAGGCGCTGGCAGTTCAGAAATGAATTATGCATGCTCCCCAGCCCCTTCCATTCCTAGAATGTCTACAGGGAGGCAACTTCTAGAAAGAGAGAATACACTATAAAGTTGAGAGGCATCGGTCTCCCACCCCAGCTCTCTGGTCATAGCAAATATATTCCAAGACTTGAATATGTACTTAAATATTGTTCATACTTATTTCCAAACACTACACCAACCAATAGGGAAAATGAGCGCATTTCGTCTACGCGGGCAGTTCTCTCAATGTTAGCAAGAACTGCCACAGACAAGATTTGGTCAACTTCAGCAGAAAGCCAACTGAGACCAAAACGCTTTGTTGATCTAGCAGGAGCAGAACTCCTCCTAATTCTATCTACTTCTAGCCTCAGAGAGGACCTTAGTTTCAGATCTTTACAATGTGGTTTCTCCGAGCGCAAGTGTCTCACCTGCTCAGGTTCACTCAAACTGCTTCTCCGACATCATTTCCACCACCCGCAGCTAATTCGCTGATTTAGAATTATCCCTGACTTGGCATTTCCCCTTCCCCATCTCTAGGCTAAAAGGAGTCAAGTAAGAAGGGACAGGTAGCAGGGATTCTCTGCTCTTGGGCTGGAAAAGAATATGCAGACAGTTCAGACAAAGCTTCCGTGTTCACACTTTAAACTTTAAACACTGCCATGTTCCCTACACACTGCACTTTTACAGCAGTGCTTACAGGAACACTATATAAAACATGCTGGACAGATATAAACACCCTATAAAACTCCTAAAAAGATAGCAAGAGGCCCCAAAGAACAGAGGCATGAGCAAGAATGACAGGTATTGCTCAGTAGGAAAGAGCAAAGGGAATGCAGGTGCAGTAAGGGACCGGGGTACAGCTAGGAAGAAAACTGCAAAAACAAAAGCCTGGCCCCAGAAGGGAGGAAGAGGGGTACAAAGGTTGAGAACCCTTGCAACTATCATGTGCTTCTCCCAGACCAGAAGAGGGAGCTACGGGGACACCGACCACCCTGGCAGGGAACTGCAGTGCTGTGCTTTGGTCAACTAGGCGGGAAGAAGGGAAAAGGAAACACACACCAAACCCCACCACCTACTGAACTATACGTCTGGCTAGTGTGTTGTTGGTTGTTTTAGCTGGATGAAAAGAAAATAAAAGAATCCACAATATGTATGGAACCCTGGGTTTGATCCTCAGTACTGCAAGAAAAAAGTTCAAAAACTGAAACGTTTCTAATAACAGTGATAAAGATAGCATTTACAACAGAATGTTGGTTAAAGGAGACGCAGGGATTAAATAAACTCAAGCACCCACCGTCCCCTCCCGCCACCTCAGCAAACACACCAGTCAGGCTGTTACGTGGGCACACAGAAACAGTACATTTCCTGGCTAGCGTCCTGTGCTGGCTGACTCTTGCTCTACAGTACGCTTCTGTCTTAAGCTCTGCATTGAGTTTCTGAAACTACATGATGTTTCTGAAGCTGAAAGAAAAGGACGTTTAGTAGACATATCTCTACATCCAGTGAAGCCTTGATAAGATGGCTTATTTGCCCCTTTAAAATTGTTACAATCTGCATGGAAAAAGGAGCCAGACCAGAGGAACAGCTTTTTAAAGAATGATTTTATGAATGGATTTGGAGATGAATCCCAGTAAGCAAATCCAGCCAGGGTAGGAAAGACAGACATCAGACTGTTCTCTCATTTGCAGTTCCTAGACTTTGTGTAGAGACAGAAAATCATGGATGTACATGTGATCTGAAGGCAGAAGCAAAACTGTACAGAGGAAGAAAGGGGCCTCACGGGCGGACAGCAGGGGGAAGGGGGGTCAGAGGGGGAGGATGTGCTCAGTCGTATGAAAATGTCCCCCTACAGGACCCATGTGCAATGAAAATATACAATGAAAATTAAAACAAAAAACACTTTACAAAAGCAATTCTACAAAGTATTAGCAGTGTCTGTTAAATCCATTTTCTTCTATCTAATTAGCATGTAGGAGGAAGCAGGCTGGGGCCCTTGTGTGCTCTGTCCTTCCAGCTGAACATTTTGTTTTGTGAGTGCTCTGACCTCTTATTTGTCCCTACATCTCCTTTAATAAGACTCACAAAGTATTCCTATTAAGAGGGACAGACATTCTGAAATGGTTCAATCCTGTCTACATCAGCCAGTCTCAGGTAACTACAAACTGCATCATTCTCACGGGATGGACAGGAGAGTGCAGGGAAGCTGAAGGTTCGGTCCTGTTAGGAGTAATCAGAATGGAGCCTCAGGGGCAGATTCTCCTGTTACACAGGAAGGAGAGACCACTTTATTCCAGCCTTTTAAGGGGACATTTAACACTTGGTATTTATAGCACGGCTGGGCCAAGCGACACCACATATTTCAAAGCAGACAAGGAGTTTCTGGGTCCATGAATGGGGTTCGCATCTAATTCGGCGTCTTTGTGAATAGAGCATTACCAGCACTGGGAAGTTGTCAACGGCTGGAACAACAAATCAGTCTGTAAACCTGGGGACTTAGGTGGAGAATCAGTACCTGTATTTAATGTAACAAAAAAGCAAGGCCATTTTAACTGCCTTCCCCAGGGCCCCGGAGGATTGGGGCACTTCTCTTTACTGCTGCCGTTCAGACCCATCAAAGAATCTTCAGACAATGGGATCAAGAACTACAGTGAGTCTAAGAGACATGGAGAGCCATGTCTCAGTTTAAGAGCACAGTCTACACACAGCAAAAGGATGAAAGGCCTTTGTCTATACGCAAGAGAAACAGCAAGTTTAGCTGCTTGCCGAGGAGCCGACAGCTAAGTAAGGTTAATGAGGGTCTCGGTCTAAGTGGAGAAAAGAGGAACTGAAACAACACACTCTTCAGTCGCATACAGTCCAGCTGAGGGCACACACACACACACACACACACACACACACACACACACGTGCTATCTGACAGGGTTACTCATTCTCAAGATTATCCATGACAGGAAAACCAGACCTTCAGAACAATCAGCAGAAGGAGGCGTGTTTCTGTATGTAAACATGTTCTGCTCACATGCAGCCTCCTACCCACACCCATCAGGAACAGTCTGATAATCTACGGGAAAACAAGACCTCACTCTGGTAGTGGGCTTTGACCTGATTCATACATCACACTCACACCTATGTATCCATCTACTCATCAGTGATTTGACAGGTGGCGGCTCTCAAGAGTGACAGGAAGAGGTGCCTTCTAAATACCGGGCCTTAAAGCTTGTCCCAGACACACCTGAAAAATGAGTGTGTGTGGCTTCACGGGACAACTGTCTCTCAGAGCGCTGATGGAGTGAGCTGTGCCGGGCCATGCTTCCGTCACCATGTCTGTAACTGGCTGAGGAGCTTCATAGAGGAGATGGATGGAAAGGGCTCCCTCTTCTCAGTCCACTCCCAACCTTTCTTCCTTTCTAGTATGCCACGAGCGCTGCGGGACCGCTCTAAGAGCAGAAAGCAGCAGGTACAGGAAGCATGTGGTCCTTGCACTGATTAAAATAATAAAGTGATACTCCAGCATCAGCAGCAGCCAGCTCATACATCACCAGGGCTCCGCCTCTTTCCCAGCGCACTGGAGGGAGTTCAGCCGCATCATCCCCGGGGTCTAATTTGTCACATGCCCACCATATCACTCAGTGCCCGACTGTGCCTGGAACATGGGCTACACTGTAAAGTGCTGAAGTGTGGAGGGGTGATGGGGAAAGAGGTACACAGCTACAGAAGGGTAATGGCTGTCACAATAACACCATCAGTAGCAACAAGGGTGGAAACCCAGTGGCTCGGAGGACCTGGAATTCAACAAGTGTGTTTCTGATGTTCTGGCATACAAACAGAAAAGCAAATGCAGAGGCTACCCGAGAGTCTGCCTGGTAGCCTTGTCTGTGTTGTTTATTCTGTCTCAGGGATGCCTATGCGAAGTCTACAAACGCTGTCTGGCGGCCAGGAAAAGCAGATGCGTCTCATCCTTCCCAGATGCTCTGGCCAGCTGGGTTTAATACTGTGGTAATCTCGCATTAACCAAAGTGAAATGATGACCAGATCTGCATCCGAGGCCTCTACCACGTAACACTGCTCTGTCTGTCCCCGGCAGACCTCAGTCCTTCTTGTCATCCTTTGGCAGCTGACTTTTTGTGGTCCCTAGGTTCTTCCACACCTCTGTGTACATTAAGGTCCCAATGAACACAAACAAGGTGCCCAGACAGTGCCACAGGGTGAACGGGTTCTGGAAGTACAGGATGGAAAAGATGAGGCTCACAAACTTGCGCAGAGTCACAACCAGCGTGACAGTGAGCGAGGTGCACTCTGTTGTCAGGATGAACACACCCCGGATGCACACATATCTGGAGGACTGGTTAAGGCTGTTCTCTGTAAACAGTCAGGGAGGGAGCTTTAGGTGCGACTCCCGCCTTCACCCTGACATGCTGAGAGAACACGAAGAGCCACTCTGAGAATCCTCCTCAGTAGAACTTCCTGAAAGAGTCCAGCCCTGCCCTTCCTAACAGCCCATTACTATGGACTTTCATTACAGTTTCACGAAGGTGGTCCTGCTCACCTTTATTCCGTCTCGTCCTCGGGCCTCCATTCTCTCCTTCAAAGTGGGGCTCTGTATAGCAAGCCTAGGTGGTGATTTCAGAAGGAGGCAGGCAACCTTAGTTTGTTTCAATATTTTAAAGACATCACAACTTTTAGAATGGAAAGATCCTTCTATTAATATAATTACTTTTAAATGAGTCTTAATCTGAAGTTTGTTTCAGAACTTTGCAGCGACTTTTAATAGTCATGAAATAATGAACAGTATCTTAGGACACCAGGAACTTAGAGAATCTCAGCTCATTTCGTCTCCTGGCATGACTGGCTCTAAACCATCCGTGGAGTCCTGTTTCCCTGCGGGACCTACCTGAGCTGCATCACTACAGCCTCTTTCCTGTCTACAAAGAAGTTTCCAGAGTGGATCTACCCGTCTGCAGCTCACTACAGAAGTCAAGGGAAACCCAAACTCAGGTCCCCTCCATTGTTAGAACGACCATTCCTCTGCGAAAACAACACGGAGACATGAATAAAAGAGCCCGCAAAAGGATACTGAGTCACAACGTTCATGAGGAGGTAGAACCACATGATGGGCACAGCCACACTGAGGACTGGAACTTGGTAGAGTTCTGCAGAGGTGAAGAGAGGAAGCGGTCATGCCAGCTGAACACGTAAACCTTTCATCTTTTGAACAAGGCTATCCAGGTAACAACAGCAATAGGAACAGCGGTATTATTTCCCTTAAAAAAGTTGACCCATACATCCCTTTATTCATCTTGATTCCGGTCTATGCTAAGTAAGAGTCAGAGCTCTGTGGGACTCCGGGTTCTTCACAACTACGGTGGAAATAACGAGAAATGGCGCTTTCTAAGTCAGGGCCTTGCGGGTCTTTACATACCACCGACTTTTACACAGTTTTAGGTCAAATGACAGACACAACATTGCATATGCAGAGCAGGCTCAACACAGTACAATGTAATGCACCTACTACCTGCGGGGTGTGCACCATAAAGTCCTGATTCGAGGACGGTTTCTCTTAAGTGTTTACCTATCTATGAAACACTCTTGACGATCAGACTGGATACATGACCGTCTAGCACCCAGTTCCCCAGTAGCCCCTCTAAAAAGCAGCAGCTTACCTTCATACATTCTTTTGTTTAATTTAATTTTGTGATGAATTTATCTCAATTATATAACCTGTAGCTAGCTAGGAAGCAAGGCCTGTCCTCATTTTGCTCCCTCTTGCTTGGTGCCGAGGCAGCTTAGATCTGCGAGCAGCTCTGCCTTTCATGGCAGAAGAGACACAGAGACAGCCGGCTGCCACCTAACTGGCTCCAGGGCTGCTACTACTTGTCTGCATTCTCAAGATGAAAGGACCGCCTTCCTTTGCAGGGCATAGGAAAGAGCCATCAAGGCCCTTGCTGCTGCAACCACTGACTCAAAGCAGCATGCGGACACCCGGAAGGTGCAAAGGTTCAGACAAACATGAGTGAAAGCTGTACTCGAGCCAAATGCAAAACGGAAGCTTTGCCTCAGAAACTGGCAGGCAACACGGCCACGTGACCCCAGACTTACCAGACTTATTGAACAGAATGACATGATCATAAATATCAGAGGCCAAGAAGATGAAACCAGGAAGTGGAAGGGCGTGCTGTGGGAAGAAAGGGATCTCATGAAGGTAAAGATGAAGCTATTCCAGAACAGTTAGGGTAGCTTCATAATGACTCGGAGCCGTCCAACAAGCAAGTTAGCCCCCGAAGGTAGACGTGTCAGGGCCTGTGTGCCCTTGACATCACATGGCGTGACATCTTATGGAGTCTGATGGTCACCAATGAGAAAGTCGAAGAAGTAGGATCCTCCCCTCCACAAGGGAAAGTGGGGCTTCAGCACATTTTGTCTGAAAGGACTTGCTCCATACTGGATTTGAAAATTACAAGGGCCACAAAGATTTCAAAAAATTTAGAAACTCATACAAGAGACTGAAGACAATCTCAGGTCAAGGAGAAACAAACAATGAGATGAGACTAAAGAGGAGGAGGACACGTAAGGAACCCGATGACTACCATCCTCCTCACTACAGCAGCACAACGTGAGATCGTGACCCTTGCTGAGCCGTCACCATGCCTGACCTGGCTCTCAGTGGCAGATACGAGCCAAATGAGAGGCTTACATTCTAAAACTCCCTAGCCACAAACTCTAGCTCCAAGTTAACGTGTCAAACTGCCCGTTCGGATTAACTGCACACAGAGGGACCGGTCTCACCATCTCACCCCAGCCTTGGGGGGCAGCTCTCTGGGCATATTTCAATAGCAATAAAGGAGGGGGTGGGCAGAGGAGAGCTACAGGGGAGAGTGTGGGTCACCCCTTAACATGAAGCAGCTCAGGGACAGGCCGTGAACTGAACTCTCATATGAGTAAAACCCCTTGGGGAAGGAACTCAGGCCCCCAAGACCCAACCCCAGGGCTGCCCCACTGATGCCCACACTCCTGACCTCTTGCCTTGGGCTCTCCATATTGATCTTAACAATTTTACTAAAGGATCTCTGTGGGCCTTGGTTCCTTGACCCTTCAATGTTTTATGTGGTTGATCATGATCATCTCATATGAATAACTCACTCCAAACGCACATTATCCCCCTGCCTAAAGCACTTCCGTTACTGGTCTAAAGGTTGGCTACTGACAAAAACACAATCTGTCAATTACATTAAGATTTCATTCGGCATAGCACAGCATAAATCAGAAATCTTCACCTTCGCAGGGTTCAAAAAGTTGCTTACATTATAAAATAATGCCTCCTTGGAGTGCTTCCCAAATTGTTTGTATAGGGTCTCTTGGAATATGCCCATCCTCGCTGACATCAGCAGGGCAAAGGTCAGGGCTCCAATGCCTAAAAAGAACAAAGGGCAGTTACAAGATGCCTTTTGACATATTTTCTTAAGGAGACAGTATTATTGACAGTTCTGTATCACATAGGGTCAATGCCACCATGAAATCCTCTCCAGTTTCCCACTTCCACACCCTTATGTGTATTTCTGTATACTAAGACAGGGTAAGACTGTCTGTTGTAGAATATTATTTTAAGGTGTATTACTTTTGTTTATGTTCTGGGACATTTATTTAATGGTGCAAAGACGCGTTTGAGTAAATAAAATTCATCTGCGGCCAGGAGGCCGCGTCAGCAACTAGCTGACAGAGTGGTAGGGAGGGGCAGGTGGAGGGCTGAGGAGCAGCGTGAGGGCTTCTGGAGAGAAGCAAGGAGAGGAGGTGACTGCTTGCTCTTCAGCCTCTCTGAGGAGCAGGCTTCCACCACCTCAACCTCTGAATCCTGAGTTCTTCAGGGGGACAGAGATTTGGTTAAGTTCCCTTTAGCTTTGAAAGAGTCTGAGCTTGAGGGAATTCTATTCCCTCAGGCTGCAGCTCCTGTGGCCTAACCGCTGCTGATGGCAGAGGAGTTGCAATTCCTGACAGGACAGCCATGGATTGAAAGGCAGCAACAGTTTTAAAAAGAGGATGATACCTGTCCGTATGTCTGTTATACCGTGCTTTTCTCAGGAGGCTCTTCTGAACCTTTCCTTTATGCCCCGGATTAAATGTGTTTTCAACGTGTGACCCTATCTTGTGGCTGTATCACACTTAAATGTCTTGCAATGAGAGCAGTTAGATTTCCAGTTATTTCACTGAAATCGATCAACACAAATACCTAAAATGTTAATTATTTCCTTAGGATAAATTTTCATATATGGAGCTGCTGCTGAGTCAAGCATTTAAAAAAAAAACTTTAAGACCTTTAAAAAAGCTCAATACACAATAATTTTGGAGAAAGGCAATCGATTTCCCTCTGCCAACGGCTTTTATGAAAATGGCTGTCACTGTGCCCTCACAGAGTGGCAGCGCCATTTACCATCCTGCCAATACGGTGAGTCACAAATGAAAGGCTGTTGTGCTTGGTTTTCTTTGACTGCTATATTACGAGGGTATGAAATTGCTGGACATTAATTTTTCCCTATGAGTAGTATGTTCATATCTTGGAGAATTTTCCCATTGGGTAAGTATTTTCCCCATAGTGCAGAGACCTTTTCAGCAAGCTAAAGGGTTAAAGTCCAAAGCCAAGATAAGGGGACACAAGGTTTCGCTGCTACTTTCTTCCACCCAAACAGTGTGAATCTACTCCTGTTACTCCTGCAAACATTTCCCTCCAAATCCAAGCGAGGACGAGGCTCTGCAGGAGCTGTCTAATTAATTCCACATAGAGATACTTGTGTTTTTAAAAATTCTCCCGAGAGTTGACTTGGGAACACTGCCATATGGAGCAGTGAACTTAAGAAGAAAATAAGCTCTTGTGTCCCTGGGAAACCCAACCAAGAGTTCTAACTCGCCCTTCTCGACAGCGGACCGGCCACCAAGAAACAGAAGACTCCACACGGTGCTCCTAAGGAGAACGGCAGACTTTCCCTGTGCCAGTGACAGCCATGGAAACATGGACCCACATACAGCATGGCCCTCTTTTAATTTTTTGAACACTAAGGTTCAGAGACATATTGGTCCCAGGTGTCACTCTCCTCCTTAGCATAATTTGTTTAGTCTCAAGTTCTTGCCAAGAAACATGTCCCACAGGAGAAAACTCAGCAAAGAAAAGTGCAGACAGAGGTAATTAGCTTTTTGTAACTACTGTACTTGCCTAGTAACCACCATGCAAATGCCTGGAATCCATCCTTCTCACTCAAGCTGGACTGGGAAGTCTAGGAAATAAGAAAATATACTAGGAACAGGGACCAGAACCACAAACAACATCCGAGATGCAAGGGGCACATTTCTGCTGTCCACTTCTTTCCACTCTCGCAGAGCTGAGTTCCTGTATTACACAAGCACTCTGATCCCTTTCTTTCTTTACAGGTACCTGGTAATGGGGCCCGATGACAGGCAGAGAAAACAAATGATCTGAAGCCGAATCTTACCACCTGCTTTGCAGACATAAACGTGCAAATAAATATCCCTGCAGACACCAGGGCAATGGAGGTGTACTTGAACATACTGTATCTGTAAAACAAGGATAAGAACGCCTTAGGAGAGGGACCACGGAAGGGGACGTACAGTCGGGCAGCCTGTGGTTCAAACATAAACCTCTGCAGTCTCTCTGTAGTGTCAACAGTGTCAACCAGTAGGTTGTTACAGAAACTGAAAAAGTAAACAAAACCAGAAGACGTACATATACCAGATGGCACATGACACTGAACTCGGCTCTCCAGAAGCCAGTGCACTCGCACCTGTGGCTTCTCCGATCCTAGGAGCCCAGAATTATGTCCTAACACGCACACCATTCAAGAGGAACAACAGATTATCAGGTACAAATGACAAGAGTTAAAACTTGGGGAATAATGTCCATTCTTCAGGGAAGGTATTTCTTTAAAAACAGTCTGAATAACTTAAATGATTTTGTCAAATGTCGGCACAGTGGGATAAAGGGAGGAAAATGCAATTTGTAGAGCCAAGGGCAGCATCATAGTGACATTTCCATTAACTAAAATGGTATCATTATGATCCCCCTCAGAGCCTTGGTAATCAAGGGAAAGGCCCCAGGAAGGATGAAAAGAAATTAAACTTGCAGAACGAATCATCACTTCCTTTCTTCCCAAGGGCACTGTATCTTTTGATGACAATACCTCATCAGAGCTGATCTGACTGGCTGAAGCACTGAGAGAAGGATGCAGGAGAGGCCTACTACAGAGAAGTGGGGTACCAAAGGGAAGGGGGACTAGCTGGGAAGAACAGAGGCTCGGCAGGAGTGGGAGAAGGGCAAGAGGGTTTGGGGATGAATATAATCAAAATGCATTTGTATGTATGTATGAAATTACCATAATGCATATAGTTAGTAGATGCTAATAAGACCTTGTGTAGCAAAAGTGCAGCAGAAACATCAAGTTGAGTAGTTTAAAAATTAAGCCAAAATAATGGTTAAGAAAAATATAGATGGTCTTTAAATTCTCCAAAGGACTTTGTTCAAAAAATAAGAAGGTAAAATTGAATCAGAGATTAGCAGCAGGACATTTTCCTAGGCCCCCAGTGTGATCGTGGACTCCATGGAGGGAGGGATAAAGGCAGGAAAGGAGGGAGGTGAAGAATAAATAAATATAGAAAAGTTAGAGAAATTTCTGTTCTACGGATGGTCAAAGGCTCAGACCCAAGGTAACAGATTCCAACAAAACTCTTAAGGAAAACAGGTATTGAGCAGAGCCCCTGACAGTGTGAATTATAATTAATAAATTTAAAGGACAGTTGTCATAACACACACACACACACACACACACACATCAAAGCTTAGGAAGAAACCCAGGTCTCTAAGGTGAAGTCTAAGTCTAGCAACCAAGTACAGTTTTCATCTTCAACAAAACATCTGGCCATTTAAAGTCTGCACAAAGGCAGAGAGGGCCGAGGAGACTCACAAGGAGCAGCACTGGGCTCCACAGCCTCCAGAGATAAAGGGGACACACAAGGAGTCTAGCAAGATGGGACAGCTGTCCTTGTTTTGATACAGCCCTTACTGCTTAAAAACTGTTAGGCTCTAGCCAAACAGTATGGCACTACAGGCTTTTAATCCAGCACTTGGGAGACAGAGGCTGATGACTCTCTGTGGGTGCAAAGCCAGCCTGGTCTACATATCTAGTTTCAGGCCAGCCAGGGCTATTTAACGAGACTCTGTCTCAAAAAACAATCTCAAAAACAAAACTCCTTTAGGTTCCCTCCCTGAATTGGCAGATTCTTCCCACACCAAGGGAGCCCTAATCCCGAGACCAGAAACCGGACAATTGAAAACACAGCATCAATGGCACTACTTTGGTTTTAATAATGAAGATGACCTTCCCCTGAGAAATCCTGTCTCTCCCTCATGTCCCTTTCCCCTCAGTGGTAAGGGCTGAGACTCAAGTGAGAGGTGGGTACTTTGGAAAAGCATTCCAGGCGGTTCCTGCCATTTCCCACCCCAGTCCTACCACAACCACCCCGCTGGCAGCAGTTACAAAGAATAACCCCAAGCCTTCTGCTCCTTCTTCATGTCTATCTGGGCCTATACCGGAAACTCTCTTCACACATAAAATTATTCCCCAGTTCATTACATACAGTACACTGATGAGTACCTCATGTGTGCTGAATATGCAGGTTAATAAGAAAGCTCGCAGCATGTACGAGACCCTGGGATCTAGCCCCAGGAATGCCAAGAATAAAAATAAACAACAAAGCACTTTCTAGCACAACCCACAGACCTTCCGTGACCACTCCCTGGAAATGCTCCATAGCCGCGTTCTCCAGTATGGTCGCCACTTGCCACATGTGGCGACTTAGCATTTAAAATGTGCCTAGTAAAAGTGAGAAAATATTTCATCTTATTTCACTTAGAAAATGTAAGTCCACACGTAGAGTCACATGTGGCTACTGGTGGTGATCATACTGCACAGTAAATTTCATGTCAACTGCTTTCACAGGTTGGCAAGGCACTGAAGATCCAGCGGTAACAAGAGCTGCCTGGCCCCACAGGAAGCCACAGGAAAAGCCGCTGGCCTGCTCAGCTGCCTTAGGAAAGTCATCATTACCCATGATTCTGAGAGAAAGAACTCAGAGAAAGGCTGATGAGCTAGAGCAGCCTTTCACCCACTGTGGGAAAAGAAAGGTGCCCAGTCCGCAGAGGTGACCTGGAATATCACATCCATATACAAAACACGGAGGTGTGTGGTTACCTTTTCTTCAAAATGATAATTCCTAGGATCATGTTGGCAATCAGGGAGCCCTGTAAAAGAAGACGGGGTGACTGTTTCAGTGCACCAGGGAAGAAAACAGAACTCCCGATGAGTAAGAAAACAGACATGGGGAAACACGGGAGGATGAACAGTCACTAAGGCAAAGAATAGAGGCCAAAAAAATCTGTCATGAGAAATAAAAAAAAAAATTCAGTGCAAGATACAGTGGGAAAAAAGATCAGTTCTGATGAATTGGTCCTAACAAAAGCATGACTAATAGGGCTAGATGATACTTTAGAGCTACTTCCATCAATTCTCCACCTATTTCATGTATATTAGATTACAATGTATGTAGAGAACTTCTACTGAGTTTTTCCCACCTCCATAATGAAAGAAGTCATGCAGGGATCTCCCCCTTCCCTAGAAAGGTGTCAATCAACAAGAGTTTATGGAAGGGCTACGGTGTTGGTGCTTTGTAGGTCGCCCCAATAGTTACGGTTATCTCATGCAAGCCCTGTAGGCATAGGACACTTAATCTCACAAAAATCTCAGGCAACAAGATAATGTCATTTCCACCCCCACCCGTTTTTGCAGTCTGCCGCTGCAACTCCACCTACGTACTCCTTGATGGCATGCCCGCTCTGGGAACACTCTGCTCTTATTTATACACCAGCTAAGAGAGAGCTTATCACACAGAAGTAAAGAAGATGGGTTACAATTTGAGAGAAATCCCCTTTGTCAACCTTGTCCTGCCACGTGTGATGGGACAAGCCCTTAAACCCAGCACTCAGGAGGCTGAGGCTGAGGATGGAGAGTTCCAAGCCAGCCTGAACTACAAAGCGAAAGCTGCAAGGCAGGGGTGAGGGTAAAGAAAAGCTTCAGTAGTAAGTGTGAGCTCAAAATAAGCCAGATGAGGGAAATAGGAAGTAAATCTATTTCCCAGAGAAATCGTAATTTTACTTTTATTAGTCATATATTAGACCTCAGATAAATAATAGGAAGCCATTCACTTACCACTTTCCCATCCTGTTCAAAGTCTCAAAGCAAGCCTATCATTATGCCCTAGACTTGACTTCCTATAAGACTGGCTGTTTCTGTCCCATGCTCGGTCTGCCCACCTCACCATGCTCTTCAGAGGACACACGTGAGAGCTGGCACTTACTGATCTGAATATCATATGCAGGGGCATGGCGATGTTCAGATTCAGGGCATAGTTGTTCATCACGCTGACAGTGAAGAACATGGTTACCATGATGGCATAGTACCTGCAAGGAGAGAGAACACAAGACACTTTTCAAGAAATTTTGATATAGAAATACATATACCTGGTTTAAAAGTCACCCGACTTCCTTCCTCTCTGTTAATTGAGTATAGAGAACCATTATCACATAAAGTCAAATAGTAAGGATATCTATGCATACTTCACTGAGTCAGACCAGCATGGGGAAAATTCAAATTTCTGAATGTGTATAAACAAACGCTTGAATGTTTTTCAAGGGAATTATAATTAGGATTTACAAACTTAATCCATAGTAAGACATTTTATGTGGACAGATAATTCTTTTAATGTACTAGTTCTTTGTAGATACTTTTCATAGGTCTCTAGAGAATCTGAAAGTGGTTAATTTCCTTAGTGCTTCCTGTGTATATTTATACAGTATTATTTTTCTTAATTTTGAAAAAAAACAAATTTCAAAGATTTGTCATGTTTAACCTAGCCACTGTGAAAATTATTTCATACGCTGAACCAGTAACTCTAAAATCAAGGATAGCCCTTGATTTTTGGGACTTATACTTAAAATTAGAGTCTTGTTTCCTTTCTCTCATTCTTTTCTTTTCTTTTTTTTTTTTTCTTCCTAAGACAAGGTCTTTCTCTGTAGCCCTGAATGGCCTGGAACGGACTATATAGACCAGCGTGTGCTGCCTCTGCCTTCTGAGTGCTGGGATTAAAGACATGTGCCACCAAGACTAGCCAGAGACTTTGTCACTTGAGAATTCATAAGTCTTAAAATAATAATAAAAATTGAAATAAAAGAAACCCTAGGGCTAAGGATGTATGTAGCTCAACTGGCAAGAATAACTTGACTAGCACGGATGAGGCCCTGGGTTCGATCCCCCAATGACATATAAAGTGGGCATCTTGGCCGGACACCAATAATCCTGGCACTTAGAGACAGAAGAATCAGGGATTCAAGGTCATCCTCAGTTCCACATCCAGCAAAATGAGATTCTGTCTTAAAAAAAAAATCCTATAATCTAGACTTAGAAAAGACACATATAAATGAGTAAGTGAATGAATACTATGAATAAGGAAATGGATTAAAAATTTTTATATTTGTATGTTTTCATCTTGATCTAGAAAATATTCAAGATGTCTTTCATAAATATTAAGCTAAACCATATTCATGTTTTTGCAAGTCAAAAAGGATTAGATAACAGCAATTTCATGATTCACTCAAAAATATTTTTAAAAAATTTTTAAATAAATGCCTAGACAATCTAGAGCAGACGTAAACAATGGTTTTATATTGTTCATAAAATATTTGACCTTGGGCACAGATTTCTAAACAGTTTTGTGTCTAAGAAGAATAAAAAAACAGTGACCCCCACATCATCTTCTCTTTGTTTCTGGTTAGATAGAGAGCTGGACAGACAGCGCCAAGGCTGCATTAAGAGTCTAAGTAACTTGACAACTAACACAGAGCACAGTGCTACAGGCATGAAGACCACTAGTAGCGGCTGCCTCACAACTTCTAGTCACTTTACAAGGCTTGTCAAATTTTCTCAGGAGAAGCCTGCCTGACTGCCTGAGGAGACGCCTGTGGGGGCACAAAGAGGCCAGAGGTAAGAGAGTTGGGGACTTGTTTCCAGCTCTTCAAGGTTATCTTACTTCTACCTCAAACAAAGGCCCCACCTAGATCTGCTCTCTCAAGGCTATTGTCACCAGGTGTGGCTAATTGCCAGACCTCCAGCTCCTGAAACGGGGAAGTAGTTGGTTCCCAGCTAAAATGAAAGTCTAAGGTTCCAACTCAGTTCCAGTTCCCTTTATGGAAATGGGATCCCACCCAGGGAACGGTTTGCCTAAGGAGGGTTTGGTCTGGGGCTTGAGTCTAGGGCTCCGGGGTGTGAGCGGAGAATGTAGCCTTGACTTTCAATTTGTCTGTTGATGCAATCTTTTGTTTTATCCCCTGCCTTTTGGGGTCAGAGGTACGATAACCAGTTGGAAATTAAACACAGGCAAATTTTCAGTACTCACTAAAAAATTCCCTCCCAATAGTATCCTATATGTTTCTGTGTTTTATTATTTTCGTTCACATCTTCGTATTCTTTAATATTTATAGATCCCCACGCCTCTACTCTGGAGAATGGTATTTTTGTGGAGGCTGGTCCCTGACAGATGCCATTGGAAAAAAGAGTTTAACAAAATCTTCCAGGCTAATTAATTCTTCCTTGTAGCTACTAAGACAGATAGCATGTACTACAAATTGTTTGTGGGGGATGAAGGGCCTGAGCAAAACTTTGATTATTAATTCACATGCAGAACATAAAATAGTCACTGTAAGGGGACCTGATGGGGATATGACAATTAGGACAGATCATGAGGGACAACATGAGGGAAAGGGTGCAATAATAAGGTGGCAGAGGTAGGCCAGGCATGTTGGTACACACCTTTAATTCTAGTACTTGGGAGGCAGGGGTAGGTGAGCTCTGAGTTTGAGGCAAGCATGGTCTACAAAGTAAGTTTCAGCTTAGTCAGGGTTACATAGTGAGAGGACCCTGTCTAAAAAAGAAAAAAAAAATAGAGTCTGAAATGGAAGAAGGAGACAGAGGTGAGCTAGCAAGGGTGCTCTGTGTGTGTGTACATTATGTTTTCACCAAATACCCTGATCCATAAAAGCAGATAAGGGAAAGGAGGGTTTTTTTTTGGGGGGGGGGGGGGGGGGGGTTGAGACAGGGTTTCTCTGTAGCTTTGGTTCCTGTCCTGGAACTAGCTCTTGTAGACCAGGCTGGCCTCGAACTCACAGAGATCCGCCAGCCTCTCTGCCTCCCGAGTGCTGGGATTAAAGGTGTGCACCACCACCACCGGGCTTGAGTTTTTTTTTTTTTTTTTTTAAATGGTGGGATTACTGCCATGATGCACATGCTGGCTTGCAGGAACAGAAAAGTTTATGGGAATACTAAACCCAATAGTAAGAAATTAAAATATTTAGTATTACATTAACAAAAAAAAACTAAGGTACAATATTAATAACCTCAGCAAACTACTTTGGAAGGCAGTGGAGGACAAGGATGAGCTTGAGCACTTGGGGACATTTCCTTGGGAATGTCACTCCCAAAGGAACTGAGTGACACCACTTAAACCCTTGCCATGGGGAGGACACCTCTAGCTCCAGCCTTTCCAACATAAAATCGTATTTGGCCCTGTGTGAAGATACTTACGGCAAACCCGGACTGATGGAACAGAGTCTGGCATTAACAATTTTTTCTTAGCTTGTCAATCATTGAAGCAAAATTCACACAACATAAAATTACCCATTTGTGAGCACCAATTCGGTGACATCCGGGAATTTGCCGGGCTGTATACTCACTGCTTCTTCATTTCCAAGAGTCAGTTGTTTTCACAGTGTTTAATGATACCACTCTTAGCATAATCAATAACTCTAAACACAGAGGTCGAAGACACGACTGTGAGAACGTGATCACCCGCATCCTTCTGACCCTACCATGCACACACACACTTATTGCCGTCACTGCTATTTACGGCAGGGATTTTATTCTAAAAATAGGTTTCTAGAGCATAACAATGCAATCCATAAAACTAATGGCGCCACTGTCGCCCATAACCTAAACTTGAGGAACACGTGCCTCATACTTTCTGTCCAGGCTCCACCTTCAAGGTCTTCAATGTGCCATACCTTAATGGGATAGCTGGTGGCTTCCTTCCCAAGTCAGCTTCAAAAAAGAAGCCTTCCACCGCAATAAATAAGAACTGTGCAAATGTCACGATGTTCCCACATCCTGGGTGCTTCCTGGATAATGAAGAGCAGAAATGAAAAACACAAGGCACAAACTCAGATAAAATGCACCACAGCCTGTTATATTTACGGCACCAGAATAGCAGGATAGATTTCTGCAGCCTCGGTCCTTCCTCATATTGGCTCTCACATGCCATGGGTCACACACTTTGACACTGTGTGTCACAGGGAATGCCTAACTCTACTGTCTGGGTTTCCTGGAGTAGCAGGCCCTGCCTTAGAATTTCTCTCACTGACAGAAACATGAGATGGCTTTCCTAGTTAGCTGCAGGAAATCTCCTAGTAAACTCACATACACACCCCACACACACTCAAAAGGTCTTTAGTCAAGGATAAAACCATGCTGGACTTCTCCTGGAATGTTCACCTATTTCTACTGGTCACTTGATGGTAGGGGAGTGACTTTAGACAGTGTCCCCAGAAAGCAATAAATAGTTCTGGGGATGGGAAGGAGGCTTGCTATTTTATAGAGATACATATCAGCACACAAATCAACATAATGTTGTATCTATGGAAGTATGATTAAGGAAAACTGTCGAAAATGGGTTCTGGGGAGGGGATAGTAAGCTAAAAATGACTGAGAAATACTACTGTAGCACACGGCGGTTCTCCACAACCCTTATGTGGCTCTTTAAGACATTAGCTAGTCAAGAGCTATTCCTGGAACTCAACAGGTCCTCTTCAGCGATCTATGGAAGAGCAGGAGTCTTCCACGGTGACTATTAGGAAGGCACTCCATAGTATGAAAGTTATCTCTGACATCCCTCCTGAGGCATTCTGAAAATTAGTCTTGTGAAACTAGAAACAGTTTTCTTGAACCACTCCCCAGCTCTGTTCTATCATTGAATGCTGGGAGTCGATTTGAGTGGCTGCCATTACAAGATGGCATTTGGCCCCGGCCTCGCTTGATACCATAATAAAGGTTGCAGTTCTTCCACCAGAAAACAGGGTGAGTTGTTGTGATCTAGCTGCCCACACTCCCCCTGACCAGCAGGGGAACTTCCTTGTGGTCTGTAATTGACAAGGATGTTTGTTTTCTTTCTGGCCAGTGGGTCTCCAGAGAAGCAGTGGAAGTATCAAAGGTTGCTAGGCAGACTCCCTATATAAGCAGCTACAGCTCAGAACTGGGGGCCCCTTGCTTTCTGCTCTCCCTTTAACCAAGAGGCTCCAATAAAGCGTGATTTGGGAAGAATCCTCGTGTGGTGGCTGTTCTTTCCTGCTGGTCAGGGAGTTCGCCGCAATTGAAGACATCCCAAGTGTGCATCAAAACTACCCCCTAAGACTAGTTAGCTGGCTTCAGAGTCTATCTTTTCATCGTTCCCACCCACCTGACCCCACTGAACCGGCTTTTAAAAGCAGCTTTATATTAATACTATTAATACAGGGCTATTTATTAAAGCCAACTCCATTCCCTACTGGTGCTGTGAATACTAAAGACTAATGGCGCTGGGGTGTTGACCATGCTAGTGTCTTAGTTAGGGTTACTGTTGCCGCATGAAACATCAAGACCAAAGCAGCTCGGAAGGGAAGGCTCTATTGGGCTTACGTTTCCACATCATTGCTTCTCACTGAAGGAAGTCGGGGCAGGAACTCAGACAGGGCACGAACCTGGAAGCAGGAGCTGATGCAGAGGTTGTAGAGGAATACTGCTTACTGCCTTGCTCCCCATGGCCTACTTTCTTAAAAAGCCCAGGACCACCAAGCCAGGAGAAACTCCACCCAATGGGCTGAGCCCTCCCCCCTCAATCACTAATTAAGAAAATGCCGTACAGAGGCTGCCTACAGCTCAATCTTAGGGAGGCATTTCTCAATTGAGGCTCCCTCCACTCTGATGACTCTAGTTTATGTCAAGTTGACACATATAACCAGTCAGCAAACTAGGCAAGCACTCTACCACTGAGCTATATTCCCAGTGCAAATCCGTAAACCCCACAAGCATAGAAATGGCCAAGGAACACAGCGCTCCCACAGAGCGAGGCTCACCGGCTCAAAGCGACACAGGGCTGTACTTAAGCCTGTGAAGGTTTCTTGAAAACTATGACTCTAGATGCAGTTCAATTTGTCTTTCTTGGGTTCAAGGGAAAAGGCTAAACTTTGTAGGAATCCATAAACAATCGTGTAAGACATTCACCTCATTCAAGAATCTAATTCAAACCATTAGTCATACAAGAGAGCAGAACTTTAACTCCGGATCTTCCTAGCGGTGCTGGTCCCCTCTGTCCTGGCTGGTCTTCAGAAACCATGGATCAGGCTGAGCACGGCAGTGCATGCATGGAAGCCTAGCAGTGTGGGTGGGCGAGGCATTATTCAGGGAGACTTTGGCTAAAAATTAAAAGGGAAAAAAAAGTAGAGGGGCTAGGGAGATAGCTTAGTGACATTACAGAATACTTGCCTATATGCAGGAAGCGCTGAGTTCAATCTCCAGGACTGTGAATGAATGAATGAACAATGAGGAGAAGAGGTTCACCCTTCTCCTAGTACTGATCTCACTGTCTTGGGCTGGGGCCCTGGGAATCTATGCTCTTAAAGGTCCCCTATTCCATCCCTGTGGGAAAAGGCACTCCTGTGCTTCTGCATGCAAGAGTATGTGTATTCCGTGTTCGTTGCAGCCTTGCAGCCCAGCGCTGAGAACGACGGTGCCCCCACAGTTTCCTACTGACATGCAAGAGCATCTCTGCCACTCACTGTGTGATGTGGCAGCCAATCAACTCCTAAATCCAATTTTCTTTAAAATGGGAACAGCGAGTGCTTGTCTCACTGGTTTATTGCTGTGTGAACGAACAGCGTCCAGAAAAGCACCTAACAGTGGCAGCCACATAACTTAACCAGGATGAAGACAAGCCTACACACTGAGAGTCATCAGTCCAGTGCAGCTGCCCTTCCCCTGTGCCCCTGTGTGTGTGCGTGCATCTCTGGGCACAGGTGTGCGTGTATGTGTGTACATGTATGTGTGTGTGCACGTGAGTGTGCACATGTGTGGGGGTGTGCTTGTGTACACGCACATGTGGAAGCCTGAGGTGCCAAGGCTGATGTCCAGAATCACCCTTAATGGCTCTTTCAATCAAGGCCAGAGCTCACAGAGATAGCCAGCTTGCTCTGGGGTTCACCTGTCACTGCCTTTCCGGGCTGTAATTACAGGTATTTCATGTGATCTGGGGATCTGAACTCCGGCCTTCACTCTTGCGCAACAAGCACTTTAGCCAGTGAGGGAGCTCCTCGGTCCAGCAGTTATCCTTCTGAAAATCACATCGGACACCCTTTCCCTTTCCTGTATAAGATGGAAACTATATATTGCTGCCATGAGAATTCAGTGGGAAGGCATGTGTCAAGTGGCAGGCCCCATGCTGAAGGACCAACACTTCTCTAGCCTTCCCTGCCATTTTCTACTAAAGGCCTAGGCCAAAGCTTACAGGGTCCTTACTGAGAAGCCACTCTGCAGAGAATCAGGAAGAGTTCCTGGTGGGAATGACCTGGATCTCCGTCCTCAAGAGAAGAAAAAAAAAAAAAAAAGCACACGGGAGCCAAGCATGAACCATGGGCAGCAAGAACACAGTCCACGTGAAATGTTCAGAAGGTGGACCGTTTTGCTTCACCTGTGCGCTCACACTCTTGGGACGCAGAGTCCGGCCTTCCCTCAAGCAAGTCAGCGAGGGTGGGGAGGCCTCACGTTAAGCAAATGTGCTCTCGGATATCAATATTTGTGTAAAAGATTTTTAAAATTTAAAAATTTACAATTGTATCCTTCAGATGATCTTTGCTGTTTTCCCTTTATCCATATTTTATCACTAAAGACATGAAGGTCACATGGTACTCCATGAAGTAGGCCTTCAGGGCAAATGAACAAGGTTGATATATTATCAAAAAGAAATCCCCCCACCCAGGAATCACGGAATCCCTTTCCTGTTCTCCCTCCCATCAGGTCCTTTGATAATTCTACTTTTTCTCTTTCCATGGGATGCCTAAGCCTCCCTATGTATTACCATGATCCTATGACCAATGCTTCTTTAAGCTAGTGCAGAGAGCATTTTAGGGACACGCTGCTGGCTCAGCTGGGGCAGGGGGGGTGGGTGTTCTGTCAACTGGAATAATTCACTTTAAAGTTTCCAAAGAAAAACCTGAAACGTTTTCCCTGGGTCTTTTCCTTCTCTTTAAGACTTATAACCAGCAACTGAAGACAGCTTCTCTTACTTGGGATTTTCTTTGGCAAAAACCCAAATTTCAATCTAAAAAAAAAGCAACTTTGAAGAGAATGAATTAGGCAGATGGTTCACACCTCTTTCTTTCCTGGACATAAAACTTCCCTATTTAGTTCAAAGTCATGTTCTTGATGGAAAACTTAAAGGAGAAAAATAAAATCTTTCAGATTGTTATCCTGATGTTAAGACACACAGTATCTTGCCTGCTTCATTTGTTCTGTGTCTGTATATATAGAGAGCACATATATAAAACATACATGTGTGATGGAGGAAGGTAATTAGTTAATTATAATAAACCAACTGCTTGGCCTCATAGCTTAGAACATAGGTGGGTGGAATAAACAGAATAGGATGCTGGGCGGAAGAGGAAGTGAGGTCAGACTCTGCTCTGCTCCCGGACAACATGGATGGAGGCTAGAATCTTCCCGGTAAGCGCACCTTGGGGTGCTTACACACATCATTAGAAATGGGCTAGTCCAGGTGCGAGAATTAGCCTGTAAGGGTTAGAGTTCATGGGCCAAGCAGTTAAATGAATACAGTTTGTGTGTTGTTATTTCGGGCATAAGCTAGCCAAGCGTCGGGGTGTTGGGGACGCAGCCCCGCCGCTCCTTATTTCAACACATGTGTGTCATTTTGAAGGTTTATACAGCACATATATAAAACATACATGTGTGTTATGTTTTGAAGGTTGACCAGTAGCACCTTCAGAGGGGAGCCAAGATCTCACTACTGTGTAGCTGTCGATGCACGGGGTTTCTGAATTATCACTCGTCCCAATTAGAGGTCTATGAAAGTCAGCAAGAACTTGAATTTGTTTTCCAATTAGAAGAAAATGGCTCAACAATCCCTTCTCTCAACAAGTTACATCAGCCTCTGATTTAGAGTGACACCTATGGGCTCCAAGGGCACCATTTAAAAAGCCCAGCTTCTGTTCTCTAATGAGCTTTCTACGGTAATTCCTCAAGATTAACGTCACAGATTTCAAGATCCTATCTATAAGGAAGTTTGAATACCCTCTGGTCTAATCAGGTCCAATCTTCCTGCTCTACCATGGGAAGTTATCATGTGCCTAAACAAACCAGGAATAAGCTGCTGTACTATGCATTGCGTTACGGAGCCCACTTCTTTACCAATGCAGGAAAACCCACAAATGCACACCAAAACGCAGATTTACAAGGGGAAAAAGAGGTTAAATAAGGAATCGGATTCATTTACAAATTAATCCTAATAAAATTCCAAATAAATTTTCCTATAAGGAGTGAAAAGACTTTATAAAGGTAAATTTATTCATAACTTTCCTGGATCATCCCCAAAAGACAAGGTGTGTCTGTCCTGAAACAAAATTGTGAGGGAGACAGGGGAAGTCAGCATCATTGTGCAACAGGCTGTCCACAAGTATCTCACTCAACCCGGCAGAACCCATGGGGATGACGGGCTCTCACACCTTTGATGGGTGAAATCACATACTTTAGCCGAGAGCTCACAAGCTAGTGCGCACAATCTCCACTTAATGTAATGCCATATTCAATGCAATTATCTGACTTTGTTTCTATAGCTGGCCTGAATATATCACCTTTTTATTTAAAACTATATTAATATATATCAAATTCCAAAGTCTCCTTCCCTTGAAGGAAACTTTCCCTTTCATTTTCATATTCCGTACCACTCCCAAGGCAAACAATTGATCTTCATCAACACTCTGCATAGCAAAATGGCGAGCTGGCTAACAGCAATGACTAACCCACACCGAGTTGATCTGAAGTAAACCGCTTGCTTCAAAAGGACGTAAGCCAACAGTATCGAATAAAACACACTTCTACCAGACATCTTACTATGGACCACTCAGATTAAAGAATGAAGGGGAGCTGGGAAATGTGTTGGGCTAGGAGCTTAGTTAGACAAACATCTTGAGGCCATTTCTTGCTCTGCCACTTACAAGCAGGGAAAAGGCCACCCAACTTTGCAGAAACAGTGTTTCACTCTCAGTCAAACAATGTAACCCTAGAACAATGGGCTGCTCTGAGAGTCAATGGACCCAGAATGTGTAGTTAGTTATTACCTTACTGAGGTCTTAGTGAACCGCCTGGAAACGGTGGCCCAGAGAAGTGAAGGAACTGGAAAAGTCTGTATTGCCAGAGGGTAATGGAGCCAAACCTGAAATTACTAACTTGAGCTATGCAGTCCTAAGCGTCCTGTCTCTTCTCTAACTTCTGCCCACTGAACTTTGCACACTATTACCCAACATTATTTGTAAGACACCAACACAAAGCCAAGCCTGTTCCCTTTGGGAAAGTGCCGTGGTCATTCTCCAGCTAGGCTTCAACGTGCACGCTTCTCAATTAAAGCCTGAAATAAGCTAAATGCTCAGGGACCATGATGACAGCCCAGTAGTTATCTGCTTCCACATCACTTGCATGTGAGTTTGGGTAAAGTCCTCACAATCATCTCTACGACCAATGAAAGCAAATCCTTTGCAGGACGTGTCGGTACACACAAACGAAACTTTCTTTGGAACGTGTACAAAACTGGACTGCTTTGCCTGTGAGAAGGCTTAGCTCCGGACACGCACGTGTCATTCACTAACTGGACGGAGAAAAGTGCTAGGAGTTGGATGAGTAATAGGGAGAGGGTGGCTTGGCGGAAGAACTGGCTTCGCCACTAGCTCCTTAAGACCTTGGATCAGTCAAGTGAAAAAAAGTCTCCAAGCATCAAATTCCCAAAGTGTGGCATCGAGGTGACGACAGCAGCATCCTGGGTGTCCCTGTCACTTAGATGCTAAGGGATGGAGCAGTATCCAGGGCTGCAGAGTAGCGGGCAGCGCGGGTACCCAGTGCAGAGGAGTGGGGAGGTGGACGGGGTGAGCAACCCAGATCATCCCCGGGAGCCCGGGCGCGGCCCGCGAGGGTCACTCACCGGGCCAGCAGCTCTAGGAAGATCACATTACTGCAGCAGCCTGCGAACACCAGGCCCACCGCGAAGGCCGGGCGCATGGCCGGTGGGGGGCACAGGGTGCGAGCGCGCAGAGCGCCCTTCTAGATCGCTACCCTAGTAAGCCCTCATTGAACATCACCACCGCCCGCTGTTCGTTGCCCGAGGGCCGTCTCGGTCCGCTCTTCTTCCGCGGCTGCCACCAACGCGGCCAGCCCAAGAGCTGTAGTTCTCAGTCATCCCCGGTCCCATTCATCTGAGGGGGCGTCCAAGGGCTGGCCAGACTACACGTCCCAGCATACCGCGCGCCTTTGCGGCAGGCGTGGAAAAAACCGGCAAGTTTTCCCGAAGACTCGCGTGATCAAATGCTGCGCGGCCTTCTGGGAAATGAAGTTCCGTGTTCATTACCAGACCAGTTGAACGGGGATCTGGAATTACAGACCTGCAACTACTCATTGGAGTGTTCTAGCACCTGAAACAACGCTCCTGAAACTAAGAGAACGCAGAAATTTATCTAACCAGATTTCTTGGAAAACAGTGAAGTCAAAAATTTTAAGGTTGAGCCTTGGATTGAATAGGCTGTTTAGGACATCAGCTCAGCACCCCACACTCACCATAGGGGAAGATAGACCCGGCTTACTAGCTGTTGTAGAAAAGACTTATCACTGTAAATCGATTGTTTTCGAGCCGGGCGGTGGTGGCGCACGCCTTTAATCCCAGCACTCGGGAGGCAGAGGCAGGCGGATCTCTGTGAGTTCGAGACCAGCCTGGTCTACAGAGCTAGTTCCAGGACAGGCTCCAAAGCCACAGAGAAACCCTGTCTCGAAAAACCAAAAAAAAAAAAAAAAAAAAAAAATTAATAAAATAAAAAAAATCGATTGCTTTCTGTTTCGGTTTTTGTGGAGACACCGAACACATACTGGCTTGTGCTGACAGTTTGCCAGCTAAACGAGCTCATTAGATATTTAACTGATAAAAGGCACTCTTTTCACCTTAGTTCTTGTTTCTGTTCTCCCTTTGAAGGCAGATGCTTCACAACTTGAGAATCTGTTGGCATTACCGGGGGTGATTATTGGAAAAGCAGACTTCAGGACCATACACAAGAACCATGATTCAGAAAGTCTGAAGCCGGCCCCAATAAGCAGCACTTAGTCTTTGCACCCAGGAGGATTCTGATACGGTCTTTGGGTCACAAGTTTGAAATACCATTGACAGCTGTGTTGTGAATCTTGAGGGAAATGTCAGATTGTTCATGAATCATGGGAAATAAAAAAAAAAACCGTATACAAGGCCATCTCCTAATTTGCCACCCATCACGTGCTGGATGAAATCAGACATTCGAAGCGGTACAGTTCTGAGCAGCAGTACTAATATTTCGTGATAGGAGCTAGGGAGTCGGGCTGTTAATGCATTGCCTCTATGAAAAGCCTTGCTAGATGTACAAGGTGTAGACATAACGTACAAATCCAGACCCTAAAAACACCGGCTACGTATTCAGTTGGTGATCTCCAAGCATTCTTTCTATTGCTATTGAACAAAAGTTCAATATTGAACAAAAGTACCAAGAGGCTCAGTAACAAATACCATGAGACTTCAGCTGGAAGAAACGCTAAATGCTAACATGAGTAGGTTTGTTTGTGGGTGTTCTGCCTGCATGTATGTCTGTGTTCTGGTGCCCTGAGAAGCCAGAACTGAAGTTACAGAGGCTGTGAGCCACCGTGTGGGTACTAGGAATTGAACCTGGGTCCTCTGGAAGAACAACCAGTGCTCTAAACCACTGAGCCATCTCTCCAGCCCAGATATGAACTTTTTTTTTTTTTACTGGGGTGCTTGAACATTGTTATTCTCAAAGTACCTCCACTCTGGGTGGGGGTCAACTCTGCAGCTGAGGTTGAGAACTTTTAAAGAAAGGGAAGGAAGAAGCGCTTACAGGGCTGGGGCTAATGTCATCAGCGGGTCATCTTTAGGTGTCATCTCAGCCTGATTAAATCCAGATCCTTAGGAAGTAGGACCAGGTATCAGCTGTCACTGAAACTCCAAGGGTGAAAAGCATGGCTTTACTTAACTCTCAGTGGTTCTCAAGCCTGGCTACATAGTGGAGTCACATGCGAGACAATTGAACAACAACAAAAACAAACCCAGAAATATCAGGCCCACTTCCAGCGAAATATAGAAGACATTTAAGCCTGTCTGAGCAGTGACAGTTTTCTCATCTCCTCTGTAGACACCTCTGCATGTTTGAGAGCTGATCCCTTTCTCTGATTCGACTAGAGATTCTTTCACATCGAGCAAATCTTCACTTTCTATACACGCTCAAATTTGGGAGCAACTTAGAGATGTTCTGATCATCGTACTAAGTTTCAGCTGCAAACCAAAACAGGCTTAAGCTTCTGAAGGAAGCGAAAGTGAGAGTGTCTGCATGTGCTCTGCATTCCTTCCTCGTTTCGGTCTTGGCAGATTCCGGTTTTTAGTAATAACCCTCTCTCCTCCCTTCCCTCCCTCCCTCCCTTTCAATGTTTATTCTTTTTTGTTTGTTTGTTTTGTTTTGGGGGGAGGGGTTTTGTTTGTTTGTTTGTTTTTGAGACAGGGTTTCTCTGTAGCTTTTGGTTCCTGTCCTGGAACTAGCTCTCGTAGACCAGGTTGGCCTCAAACTCACAGAGATCTGCCAGCTTCTGCCTCCCGTGTACTGGGATTAAAGGCGTGCACCACCACTGCCCGGCTCAATGTTTATTCTTTTCCCACACAATACACCCCAACCGAAGTTTGCCCTCCCTCTACTCCGTCCGATCCCTTCCTCCCAGACCAACTCCTCCTCTGCACCTCCCCTGCCCCCCCCCAAAAAAAAGAGCAATCCTCCCAGGGATATTCACCAACCAGCCTAACAAGATAAGTAAGACTGGGAACAGATCCTCATATTGTGATACAGCTGGAAACTTCAACCCAGCAGGAAGGAAAGGGACCCAAGCATCTATGAAATAGTTAGAGACACCCCCAGTCCCACTGTTAGGAGTCCCACAAGAACACCAAGCTACACACAACTATAAGGAATATGCAGAAAACCTACTTAGGACCCATACAGGATCTGGGTTTGTTGCTTCAATTTGTTGCTTAATTGATTCTCATGGTGTCCTTGACCCCCACTGGCTCCTAAACCCTTCCTCCCCCTCTTCTGCAGGGCTCCCTGGCTCTACCTAGTATTTGTCTGTGGGTATCTGCATCTTCTCCCATTTGATACTGGATGACCCTCTCTGATGACAATTAGGCTAGGCATTGATCTATGAGTATAGCAGAATATCAAAGCATTTCATTGACTTTTTTTTTTTTTTTTTTTTTTTTTGCCAGTCGTGTTTGGTTCTATCCTGGGTCTCTGGGCTGCCCTGCCTCTGGTTCCTGGCCCTCTAGGCAGTGTCAGCCAAGGGCTCTCTCTCAGCAGGGGCCTTCAGTTGCACATGTCATGGGTTGACCACTCCCACAAGTTCTGCGCCATCATCGCCCCAGCATGTATGTCTTGTAGGTAGGACAGATTGGAAGTCCAAGTTTTTGTGACTGCTGGGAGCCTTGCCTGGTGAGCTCCACCTCCGTATCCCTCGTTACTAGGACACTTCACTAGGTCACTCTCATAATTTCCATTGCACTGCATCACCCCCATCCTCCCCCTCCCCAGTTCTAGGCATCTCTCCCGGTACTCTCTCCCTCTGTCTCTCCCACCCACACAGATCCCTCCTGTTCCCATCCCCACTCCTCACACCCCATTCACCCACAATCTATACTACTTCCCCTGAGCCATGTGCTGTCCTCCGCCCCCTTGAGCCTCCTCGTTTCTGTGAGCCACTCTGGTTCCATGGCTCGACCTTTACTTAACAGCTAATAACTACTTGTAAGTATTTACCATGTTTGTATTTCTGGGTCTAGTTTACCTAACTCAGTTTGATCTTTTCTAGTTCTATCCGTTTGCCTGCAAATTTCATGAGGTTGTTATTCTTAATAGCTGAATGTTACTCTACTGTGTAAATGGACGGCATTTTCTTTTTCCATTCTTTGGTTGAGGGACATCAAGGTTGTATTTAGTTTCTACCTATTCTGAATGAAGCTGCAATGAACACAATTAAGCAAGCGTCCTTGGGTTGGGTACAGCATCCTTTGGGTATATGCCCAAGAGTGGTCTAGCTGGGTCTTGAGGTAAATCAATTGCCAATTTTCTAAGGAATGGGCATACTAATTACTAAAGTGGCTATACAAGTTTGCAATCCCATCAGTAATGGAGGAATGGTCCACTGTTTTCCATCCTCGCCAGCATGTGCTAACACTTGTGTTTTTTTAATCTTAGCCATTCTTTGAGGTGTAAGATGGAATCTCAAAGTAGGCTTGGTTTGCATTTCCCTGACGGCTAAGAATGTTGAACGTTTCTTTGTTTCCCAGCCATTTGAGATTCCTCTGTTGAGAACTCTCTTTTTAGATCTGTACCTCATTTCTTAAATTGGATTATTTGGTTGTTGATGTCTATTTTCTTGAGTTTTTTTTTTTGTATATATTAGATATTAGCTTTTTGTGGGGACAGTGAAAATCTTTTCCTATTGTATGGACTACTGTTTTGTCCTATTTTTTAAAATATTTATTTATTTATTAAGTATACACTATTTTGTCTGTGTGTATGTCTGCAGGCCAAAAGAGGGCACCAGACCTCATTACAGATGGTTCTGAGCCACCATGTGGTTGCCGGGAATTGAATTCAAGACCTTTGGAAGAACAGGCAATGTTCTTAACCACTGGGCCATTTCTCCAGCCCCTGTTTTGTCCTATTAATGTTGACTTTTGCCTACAGAAGTTTCTCAGTTTCATAAGGTCCTATATATTAACTGTCAATCTTAGTATCTTTGCTATTTGTGTTCTGTTCAGGAAGTTGTCTCTTGTGCTAATGAGTTCAAAGATATTCCCCACTTTCTCTTCTATTAGGTTAAGTATATCTGAAATTGTGTTGAGGTCTTTGATTTACTTGGACTTGGGTTTCATGCAGGGTGAGAGATATGAATCAATTTGCAAATTTTCATTTCTTCTACCTGCTGACATTCAGTTAGACCAGCACCATTTGTTGAGGATGCTTTCTTTTTTCCATTGTGTATTTCTAGCTTCTTTATAAAAAAGAACTATCAGAAGGTGTTCATAGGTGTGCATATTTATCTGGATCTTTGATTCAATACCATTGATCAGCATGTCTGTTGATCATGTTGTTTTTATTACTATACCTCTTCAGTAGAGCTTGAAACAGGGATGGTGATACCTC